CCTTGCCAATTCTACATAAGCCATCCCAGAGTTAAGAGTTATGATACTCTGGAAGAGCCCTGCTGATTTTAATGGGGCTACTCATGCAGTAAGGTACTGCTCAATGTGAACAAAGGTAGCAAGATCTGGCCTTTGAGTAGTCCCATTGAAACCAATGGCTCTACACCCATAATCAATCGTTTTGAAGGATATAGCCCAAGCGTTTTTCAATTCCAGTATCAATGATCCTGAGTCTACAATAGCACAGAATAGCACGTTGAGGTTTCAATAAGTTTTGTATGCAGGCAGATCTCAGTATGAATTAGGGAATGCTTTTTGTTTTAATTTTACAATCAATTTGCTATTATTCACATGCGGTTTAGGCTGTACCTTGTCATTTATAGTCAAGCTTTCCCATCATTAGGATTATAAATTACCCCTGCTTTTCTAAACAGACTTATCTGGGGGGGAAAAATCACTTCACATGTAGAGAGCCATGTTAGAACAATACATACAGAGATGGGATGCATGAAACCAGCAACATTAGAGAAGGACTGTCTTTAGACAGTCATGTTAAACTGACACCTCACCAAGGATTGTGAACCCCCAGATAAGAACCCTGAATTAAGGAGAGAAGGGGTATTGTTTGTTCTTATTGTCTCTTATGGCTTCTTTGTTTTTAAGAATGTTCAGTGTTGAGTGTAATTATGTTAGTTGATTCAGTAACTAAATACAAAATTGCAGACAGTATATTAGATACATAGAGTAATTTGGAAAAATGTCTAAGAAAAATATGCAATAAATATTTTATTGAAATATTTTGACCTAGTCTAAACAAGCCACTTATGTTCAGCTATTCATTTATTTTATTTGCTGACTTCAGCATTGTTGGATATACAGTATACTACAGGTTTTCGTTACTTGAGTAGCCTACTGCTGCCCTTCAGTGGGAGATACCGAGGTAGCACTAGGACTAGCTATTTTTGTTTGCAGTAAGAAAGTGTATGCTAAAGAAACAAACAAAGTCTTCATCATACCAAATACTGTGCAAACACTTAAAAGGTAAAACCATGGGTTTAGTTCATATTTTAGCAGGGCCGGCTCCAGACACCAGCTTCTCAAGCAGGTGCTTGGAGCGGCAGTTCCGGACAGGGGCGGCAGTTCCAGGTATTCGGCGGCAATTCGGTGGACGGTCCGTCACTCCGCCTGGGAGTGAAGCACCTCCCGCCGAATTGCCGCCGCAGATCGCGATCGGGGGTTTTTTTTTTTTTTTTGGTTTTGGCTGCTTGGGGCGGCCAAAACCCTGGAGCCGGCCCTGTATTTTAGAAACCATGTTCATTGCAAAATCCACTACAAAATCATGCAGAACTTGAACATTTTCCCAAGAATTATCCCTCAGATTCAATGTTTTATGTCTTTCATATTATGACTGTGCAAGCCATTTTAATATGCCTAACTGTACTTCTGAAAGAGCACATTTGGTTTTAAAGGCTACTGAATTTCCTAATAAAATCCAATACATTGATATTGACAAACAATCTTTAAAGAGCCATAGTAAGTGCCCCAGTATCTTGCAATAAAGTTAAAACAATATTTATTTTTTCAATATTTAGATGAAACCCTCTGGGGTATGGATCAATTTATTCCCAATAGGTATAGGATATACTGTATGAAACATAGCTTAGGCTTCAAGAGTACAATAGGCACTTGCACTGGCATGGAGCACCTCTGATGTCAATGCCCCTCTTTCCCCACCCTATACACCAGCTGTCAGGGTTCCTTCCCCACTCTAAACTCTAGGGCAGGGGTAGGCAACCTATGGCACGGGTGCCGAAGGCGGCACATGAGCTGATTCAGTGGCACTCATATTGCCAGGGTCCTGGCCACTGGTCCAGGGGCTCTGCATTTTAATTTAATTTTAAATGAAGCTTCTTAAACATTTTTAAAACCTTATTTACTTTACATACAACAATAGTTTAGGTATATATTAAAGACTTATAGAAAGAGACCTTCTAAAAATGTTAAAATGTATTACTGGCATGCAAAACCTTAAATTAGAGTGAATAAATGAAGACTCGGCGCACCACTTCTGAAAGGTTGCCGACCCCTGCTTTAGGGTACAGATATGGGGACCCGCATGAAAGACCCCCTAAGCTTATTTTTACCAGGTTTAGGTTTTGTTTCAGGTTGCCCCTTCTGATATTTTCTCCAACTGCTACTCAAAGACTTTTTGCAGATGCTCCGGGTGTTCTGCCCATGAGTCAGAAAAAATGGCCACATCAAGGTAGGCGATTGCAGATTCTCCCAATCCCACTAGGAGACCATCTACAAGTTTCTGGAAAGTGGCGGGTGCATTTCGCAGCCCGAAAGGGAGTACATCAATTCATACAGCCCTACATGGGTGATGAAGGCTGACCTTTCCTTGGCGGGCTCATCTAGTGGTACTTGCCAGTACCCCTTGGTTAAGTCTAAGGTAGAGATGAACTGGGCATGTCCCAGTTTCTCCAATAGCTCATCTGTGCGTGGCATTGAATAGTTGTCTGGGCGAGTTACAGCATTTAGATTACGGTAGTCCACGCAAAAGTGTATCTCCCCATCTGGTTTGGGAACCAGAACCACTGGAGATGCCCATGTACTGTTAGAGGGGTGGATTACACCCATCTGTAGCATGTCCTGGATCTCCTGTTCTATAGCAGCTTTAGCTTGAGGAGACACCCGGTAAGGTTGAGCTCTAATTGGGCGAGCATTACCTGTGTCAATGGAGTAGTATGCCCGTTTGGTCCATCCTGGGGTGGCTGAGAACATTGGCACGAAGCTAGTGCACAGCTCCTTGATCTGCTGTCACTGCATATGTCCAAGGGTCATGGAGAAGTTCACCTCTTCCGCACCACCGTCACTTTTTCCTTCGTAGTAGACACCTTCAGGCCACTCAGCATCATCTCCTCCCTGGGCTGTAAACTGACAAACCTTTAATTCTCTGGAATAAAAGGACTTTAGAGAATTAACATGGTACACCTTAGGCTTTAGGTTTGAGGTGGGGGATGCTATGAGATAGTTAACAGCTCCCAGGCGCTCTTGGACTGTGAATGGCCCTTCCCACGACGCTTCCATCTTATGGGGCTGGAGCGCCTTCAAGACCATGACCTGGTCCCCTACTTTGAAGGAACGCTCTCTGGCATGTTTATCATACCAGGCTTTTTGCTCTTCCTGAGCATCTTTCAAGTTCTCTAGCAAGGGCTAAAGAGTTTCGGAGGGTGTTTTGTATGTTGCTTACAAAGTCTAGAATGTTAGTTCCTGGAGAAGGCTTAAACCCCTCCCATTGCTGCTTCACCAACTGTAATGGCCCCTTAACCTCGCGGCCATACACAAGTTCAAATGGTGAAAACCCTAAACTGTGATGTGGTACAGCCCTGTAGGCAAAGATCAACTGCTGCAACACTAAGTCCCAATCATTGGAGTGTTCATTTACGAATTTACGTATCATGGCCCCCAAAGTTCCATTAAATCTCTCCACCAGGCCATTTGTTTGATGGTGGTAAAAAGGGGTGGCAACCAAGTGTTTCACCCCATGAGCTTCCCACAGGGCCGGCTCCAGGCACCAGCCCAGCAAGCAGGTGCTTGGGGCGGCCAAGGGGAAGGGGCGGCATGTTGGGCTATTCGGCTGCAATTTGGTGGCGGGTCCCTCTCGGAGGGAAGCACCTGCCACCGAATTACCCCGAAGAAGAAAGTGGCGCGGTGGAGCTGCTGCTGGAGTGCCGCCGATCGCAGTTGCGATCACGGCTTTTTTTTTTTTTTTTTTTTCCGCTTTGGGTTGCCAAAAACCCTTGAGCTGGTCCTGGCTGCGGGTGACCATTCCCACCCTCTTGACTAGCTTCACATGGTTGGCCAAGTCTTCCCCAGCAGCATGGGAATGGGATAATCATCATAGACTGCAAAAGTCCACATTCCTCACCAGCTCTTGTACTGGACAGGCAACTTGACTGTAGGCAAGTTTAGAGAGTTTGATATGAAGGGTTGAATTGTCACCTGGGCCTCTGGGTTGATGAATTTGGGCTCCACTAAGGATTGGTGGATAGCTGACACTTGTGCTCCAGTGTACCTCCACGCAATAACCTTTTTCCCGCCCACACTCATGGTTTTCCTTCACTCTGAGGGTATCTGGGAGGCATCTGAGCCTGGGGACCTTTGCAGTTCATTACACCAGAATCACACCAATCTGTTGAGGTTCTTGGGTCAGTTGGCCTTTATATGCCCTAGCTCATTACATTTAAAACATTGCCCAGCTGACTGGTCACTGGGGTGAGGTGGGTTGCTGGAGACTGGTGTGGTGGGACATTAAGGGGTTTGGGGTTTTCCTTGAGATGTAGGTGGGCCTTGGGCTGCCCCCAGTGGTAGGGTTTTGTTTCAGGTTGCCCCTTCTGATATTTGTTCGAACTGCTACTAGTTTTTTTTTCTTTTCTGCCACCTCCACCCATTTGGTTCCAATCTCCCCCACCTCGAACACAGTTTTGGGCTTCCTATCTAGGATGTACCTTTCTGTTTCCTCAGGAACACCCTCTAAGAACTGCCCCATTTGCATTAGGAAAGGCAGATCTTCCGGAGATTTAACACTTGCTCCTGATATCCAGGCATCCCAATTTCTTACAATGTGGCAGGCATGTCGGGAAAATGCCACGTCTGGTTTCCACTTTAGGGCTCTGAACCGCCGACGGGCATGCTCAGGTGTTAGCCCCATTCTAATTTTGGACTTGTTTTTAAAAAGTTCGTAGCTGTTCATGTGTTCCTTAGGCATTTCAGCTGTCACCTCTGCTAAGGGTCCACTGAGTTGTGGTCTCAGCTCCACCATATACTTTTCTGTAGAGATGCTGTACCCAAGGCAGGCCCTTTCAAAATTTTCTAAGAAGGCCTCTGTATCATCGCCTCCCTTGTAGGTGGGGAACTTTCTAGGATGGGAAGCAGTACCTGGAGAAGGATTGCTAGGGTTGTCTGGTATATTCTGCTTAGCCCTGGCCCTCGCTAACTCCAGTTCATTCTTCTTCTTTCTTTATCCTCCATCCTGGCTTTTTCTGCCTCCATAGCTCTCTTGTGGGCAGCTTCTTCTGCCTCCATCCTGGCTTTTTCTCTGGCCATCTGTCGATCATGTTCTTTTTGTCTCTCTTCAGCTTCAAATCTGGCTAATTCCAGTTTTTTCTGTACGCCACTTTCTGTCATCCTAGCCTTCCTGTGCTTAACTTAGTTTAACCCGAGAGCTAGAAAGAAAAAGAAAAAAAAACTTTATTATAAAGAAAGAAAAAGTAAAAGAAGCACCTCTGTAAGAATCAGGATGGAAGATAACTTTACAGGGCAATCAGATTGAAAACACAGAGGATTTCCCCTCTAGGTAAAACTTTAAGGTTACAAGAACAGGGATAAACCTCCCTCTTAGTACAGGGAAAATTCACAAGCTAAAACAAAAGATAATCTAACGCATTTCTTTGCTATTACTTACTATTTCTGCAATACTAGATGCTTAGTCCAGATATGGCTTAGGAAGATGTATTTGCCCTACCCTGGTTCCTTTGCTGACTCTGAGAGACCAAAACAAAGACACAAACAAAAACCTTCCCCCACAGACTTGAGATCTTCTCCCCTTATTGGTCCTTTTGGTCAGGTGCCAACCAGGTTATCTGAGCTTCTTAACCCTTTACAGGGAAAAAAGGAATTAACCCTTTACAGGGTAAAGACGGATTTTATGCTATCCTTAGCTGTATGTTTATGACACCAGCAGTTGATGGATCTTTGCTGCCTAAACCTAAAAGTCCTTATTGAACTGAGTAGTGCCACTAAATAAGGACTTGCAGAACTGGAGCCTTATGTGGATGTAATTTGTTCCAACATGAACTGTTTCATAATTCATAAACTGTGTCAGTTTGTTATTTTGCTAAACTCCAAATCTGGGGACATTATGTACTTGAATATCTGGATCTGTTGGCACTATAGCAGAATTCTAAATTAGTTAATACTGGGACATATGTACCTCTGCAGCCAGAGGGGATATAAAAAAAAAAAAGAAAACAGGATCTCTGCTGTTACAGATTGTGGAAGGGGAGAGCACATTGGTTTTCTGCTTCCCCTGACCCTGCAAGAAGCCCTTCCACTGTGCAGCTTGTGCTCCCTAGGCCAAGAGTGAAACCAGGAAGGTGCCCTGGACAGTTACCATCACATTCCCTCAAGCCCTCTCGACTTTGCCATGTCACTTAATGCTGACCTATCAACAGCACCTTGCCTGCTTTTCCTCTGTGCTCCAGAGTCTTTGGGGGAAAAGATGACTAGCAGATACCTCAGGGGGCCACTGTAGGACCAAAGGGCCTCCACATGGCTAACCCTGTGGATTCCATTAGTTCTGGGGATCTGGGAGACAAACTCACTCACTTGCTGCTTTAGTGAGAGACTGGATACAAGCCATGTGCTTAACAAAAGAATGCAAGAGATATTCTGCAATTGCAAAGTCAGAGTTTTGGCCTTTGCACGGATGTAGCCTCTGCAGGGGACAATATAGCCCCTTATGTTCATTACAGCTGCTGAGGACATTTTCAGATTTCAAAGTTTCAATGAAAAGTGTGACTTTTTTCTGATTTTTGACCAGATCAAGTGTTGATGAAAACATGGAGAATAACGAGAAGGCGGCATGAACATTTCCCCCCAAAGTATATCTAGAATAAACAAAGCTTGACAAATAATATATGTGTGGGGAAAAAAAATCAAAGCCCTCTTTAGGTATTTCAGAGTAACAGGTTTGTACTGCTGCACTGAGTGTACTGCAGGGATGCATATTACTGTTGCTCTGTCACTGAGCTACCCATTGCATTTATACAACTTTTAAGAAAGGGGTGGGACACAAATCTGCTGACTCATTACTGCCCCACAGGTGTTGCAGTGATGCTTAAGTGCAGCATTCAGGCTAGCTAGCAGCAATTTCATGCTCTTGCAGCATTCAGGAAATAGCAACCAAGGGGTCTTTATAAGAGAAGAACAAGTAGTCTTCAACAAAGCCAGTCCCCCAATTTGTTTTTCTCTACAGGATTCATGTGTTTGAGCTCTCCCATATTTTCAGGCACTGGAGTCTTAAGTCTGTGGACTGCTGTCTACAAAGCGCTACAGATCTGTTACTACAAGCTGTTTCAGCAGTCCCTGTTCTGCACACCACCCCCTCACAGAGCATCACAGAAGCCATGGAGTAGAAATAAGGTCTGACTTCTCTGGAACCACAGCCTCCTACCCCTGGCCCTGAAAGGGGACTATTTAATCTAGCTGTGCTAGGGCTTATGACACAGTTGAGAAGTTCTGATTCCAGCCAATAGAAAAGTACAGGGACATGACTGCAGTACATGATAATACAAAGGGATGCTGACAGGGCCAGTGCAAGGATGTTTCGCGCCCTAGGCGAAACTTCCACCTTGCGCCCTCTCCCTTCCCCGAGCCCTGCAGCAGCTCCCCGCCCCCCCCCTCCGCCCAGAGGTGCCCCCCCGCGGCAGCCCCCCCCCCCCCCCCCCCCCCGGAGGCCCCCCCCCCCCGCGGCAGCTCCCCTCCCCACCCACTCCTACCTGGGGAGCCGTGCGGCAGCTCGCTACCCCAGTTCACCTCTGCTCCACCCCCTCCGAGCCCTGCAGCAACTCCCCATCCCTGCCCTCCGCCCTGAGGCGCCTCCCCCATGGCAGCTCTCCACCCCCACCCGGGGAGCCGTGCGGCAGCTCCCCACCCCAGCTCACCTCTGCTCCGCCTCCTCCCCGAGCACGCCGTCCCTGCTCCACTTCTCCCGCCTCCCAGGCTTGCGGCACCAATCAGCTGTTTGGCGCCGCAAGCCTGGGAGGGAGAGAAGCAGAGCGGGGCGGCGTGCTCAGGGGAGGAGGCGGAGCAGAGGTGAGCTGGGGGCAGGGGGGGAGTTCCCCTGTGTGCCGCCCCCCCCCTACTTGCTGCAGGTGGCCCTCCCCGCACCCCCCTACCCCAGCTTCCTCCGCCTAAATGCCGGCGGCGACCGGGGCGGCCGAAGATCCAGCCGCCACGGTCGCCGCTGAAGAAAATGCCGCCCCCCAAATCCTAGTGCCCTAGGCGACCGCCTAGGTCGCCTAATAGGTTGTACTGGCCCTGGATGCTGAGTGGAAGTTCCTTCTCCACCCAGAAGCATTATCAACAATTGCCTGACTACTGATGCTTTAGTTAGAGGCTTCTCTCTAGTCTCTTTTGTTAGAGGCTTCTCTCTAGTCTCTAGACTACTTTTGTTGGACCAGCTCTGCTTCAAACTCCCATTTCCCCATCCTAATGATAACAAGCATGCTAATATGTTACACTTCAGGGGTATGAGGATTAGTGAAAACACATTGGACTCAACTCAGCCCTTAGGCCAGCAGAATAGGGCCTGGTGATAGTACCTTCGGAGTGAGGAGGAGTTGGAGATGCAAGGCACCCACGATCCTCCCTTCTGCTGAGCCTACAGTCAGCAGCCTTGAAGACAAAGGTGCTGGGTGAGGAGGAGAATTGGACAGCCCAAGATGCACTAGTTCAGTGCATTCCATGGGCAGTCTCTGCTAGTGGAGGTTGCTATGGAGCCCTGCCTGCAAATTAAAGCTGCCCTGGATTGGCAAATCATGAAGAGTGGATACTAGTACAAATGCTGCCTACCTTCCCTGAAAAGTGAATCCTCCCTGCTATAGCAGCCGCAGCTGAAACAGGTGGGGGCAATTTGCATCCCCCGGCCTCAGCCAGGATGAACAAAGTCCACAGAGTATTCACACTAAAAAGTACCCTGTACACAGAGATGAAAGTAAGCCGGTACGCCCCAGTAATTTAAAGGGCCTGGGGCTCCCAGCAGGGGCTGGAGCCCTAGGCCCTTTAAATTGCCACCAGAGTCTCACTGCTGGAGCCCTGGGGTAGGGCTGTGGGGCTCTGGGGGCTATTTAAAGGGCTGGGGCAGTAGAAGCAGGGGAGCCCCGGGCCCTGTAAATAGCCCCTGGAGCCCAGAGGTAGCGGGGGGCTCCAGGGGCTATTTAAAGGGCCTGGGGCTCCAAATGTATCTGCCACCCTGGTCCTTTAAATAGCCGCGGGAGCCCCACTGCTTCCCCAGGGTTCCTGCGGCTATTTACAGGGCCGGGGCAGTAGAAGCAGGGGAGCCGTGGGCCCTTTAAATAGCCCCCGGAGCCCCAGGCTGCTGCTGCTACCCCGGTGGGTGGGGTGGGAGGGCACTTACCTTACAGGGTGGGCTGGGGCTGGCTCTGACTCCCTCAGCCATGCCCCTTCCACCCTAGGCCCTGCCCCTTCCGGGGGCCAGAGCTGGCCCCAGCATACCGGTAAGTCACTGGACTTACTTTCACCCCTGCCTGTACAGCACCTAAAAGGGAGATTTTCCCTTAAGAAAAGCCTGCAGTTCTAAACCAAAGGCTATGTTCAGCAGAGCTATCAGGACACTATCGCCACTTTTACCCTATTTTGATTCATGCAGCAGAGTCTAAACAATCCCATAGATCTATTTAAGAAAAGAGCACAGATGCCCAGGTATGTTCCCTGGGGCCTCCTGCAGAGAATCAAAGGGAACAGAAACTGCATTATCACCTCCTCACTCACATCTTGTGGAACACAGCCTCATTAGATACAGCTCTTCACTTTATAAAGCAATTGTATGGATAATAGTTTGGTTCAGGATTTTCCAAATAATACAACCTTTAGTCAGCATTAATCACATATGTCTGTTAATTGCTGGCATGAGGGTTAGGACAGCCAGCCAGCCTTATTGACATTCCTGGCTTGGAGAGACACCCTCAACACTCCCAGCTGATGCACACTCCAGATCATTGGGGCATGGCATGTACACATGTGTTACAACACGGTGCCCACTCCTTATATGACAGTTCTGCTAGAGCTCAAGGGGCAGGCAAAGGCAGCATCATGACACTGGCATTTTTCCACCTGATGACAATTGCTGCAATTAAGGAGCCAAAAATCGTATTCCAGAACAGTGAAGTATGAAATGACAGAGGAGTTGAAGACACTTGAGGGTGCCAGATAGACAGACTGTATCAAAGCAAGCCTCTAGGAAACCTATTAGGAACAGATGGGGGGTGACAAATGCCTGGGACACAAAAGTAGCACCCACAGGCATGCTCTGCAACAAGAAAAAGCCCCTGGCAAACAGTGGCAGCAGCGTACCAGCTTAAGCACAAAAGAGTCAATGGGACAAA